AATGAGAAGCTCGAGGCAATCTGGGGCGTCATGGAAAACTGCATCGCCCGGGGTTTGTCACTGGAAGGTATTTTGCCTGGAGGGCTCAGCGTCAAGCGGCGCGCCAGGGCAATCCATCGGCGCCTGCTCGAGCAGAGCGGCTCAAACAGCCAGCAACCCCATGCGATCAACGACTGGCTGTCCGTCTATGCCATGGCGGTGAATGAGGAAAACGCAGCCGGTGGCCAGGTGGTCACCTCGCCGACCAATGGCGCTGCCGGTGTCGTTCCCGCCGTCATCCGATATTATCGCGATCATTGTGTCGACGCTTCGCGCGAAGGCATCGACACCTTTCTTCTGACGGCTGCGGCAATCGGTGGGCTCATCAAACACAACGCGTCCATCTCCGGAGCGGAATGCGGCTGCCAGGCCGAGGTCGGTTCGGCTTCCGCCATGGCGGCGGCAGGCTTGTGTGCCGCTCTGGGCGGCAGCAACGAGCAGATTGAAAATTCGGCGGAAATCGCATTGGAACACCATCTCGGCATGACTTGCGACCCGGTCCGGGGTCTTGTTCAGGTACCCTGTATCGAACGGAACGGCATGGGAGCGATCAAGGCGGTTTCGGCAGCTTCTCTTGCTCTTCACGGCGACGGCTCACATTTCATGCCGCTCGACAATTGCATCGAGACGATGCGCCAGACCGGGCAGGACATGCGGGACAAGTACAAGGAAACGTCTCTCGGCGGCCTTGCGGTCAATCTTCCCGAATGCTGAGTTTCTCCGGTCCGCATCAGATGCCCATGAACGGAATTCCATCCTAGAAGAGGAATTGTGCCTCCTCATTGAGCTGTGCGACGTCGAACCCGCCGGTCGTGGTGTTGAAACCGACCGTAATCGTTTCGCCGGCACTGATTCCGGCATTGTAACCTGCGTCATCGATCGAGTACCGGTCTCCTTCCTGAGACTCCATCACTGCGTTCCAGATGTGCTGTATGTCCGACCCGAGCGTAAATTCAAGATCCCAGTCCGAGACGTCTTCGGTTCCGTCGTTGCTGACCACGATGTTGAGCGTTGCGCCGTGTCCCCAGTCATTGACGACCTGAAACTCCGCCGACAGGCCTGACGCAGGATCCACAGGGTCCGGATCAACCGGATCTGGGTCCACCGGATCAGGATCGACGGGATCAGGATCAACCGGGTTGGGTGCACTGCCATCCGGCAGGGCGTCGCCAAGAGGATCACCAAGAATGACCATGGACTGAAAATAGTCGATGACGTCCTGATGAGGCACGTCCAGGGCGCTCCATTGCGGCCAGTCGAACGTGTCATTCATGAATGGCTGCGTCTGGTCATGGCTGAGCACTGTCAGGTGGTTGACGTCATGAGCCCAGGCACCATCACCATCCGGAAAGGTCAGGTCGCCGTGAACGCGCCCGTGCATCCAGCCGCCGTAGTGTGGTTCCATCTTCAGCGTGTTGATGAATGTCCCGACAAGTCCGTTTTGAATGAGATAGTCCGCAAAACCCTCGTGACTGTTTGCCTCGACCATTGTCATGACATCGACCGGATCGCCGAGCCGTGCCGTGCGCTGGATATCGGCCAGGAGTTGCGGGTCAAACGCATTGTCGCGGATCCAGCCAACCTTTGCTGCCTGCATCGCGTAGTAGAGGCCAACACCCTGCAAGTCCTGACCCCATGCCTGGTCATTGTTCGTGAGGTCGTTGTCGAAGGCCCATTGGCCGATTGTCTCCAGTTCCGCGTTCTGGTAGCCGAGAAAATTGCGCAATCCGTTGTAAGCCACGAGTGCTTCCGTGGTGATGGCCGTGCGCCCGCCATGGAGTTCATCGTGACCGGTGTGGCTGCTGCTGCCGTGGAAGTTGCCGAAAGAGGTAATATCGACATAGTCGCCCGGACCAGGTGATGGGTCGACGGGCGCCGGGTCCACAGGATCAGGCTCACCGGGGTCAGGTTCTTCTGGATCCGGGTCGACGGGTCCGGTTTCGACCGGCGTGCTGTCTATCGAAACACTGTCCGCATCTATGGATGTGTCTGTTCCCCGGGCCGTAAATCCGAATGTTGCCGTGTCACCCGCGGTCAGGCTGCTATTGTAAGAGACACCTTCGATGACATAGGTGTCATTGATGTGAGAAATGATGCGGGCATTCCAGATCGCGTCAATCTCGGCATCCAGCCGAAATGCAATGCGCCAACCGTTCGCTCCTTCTTGGGAAGACAGGGCCATTCGCCCCACAAACCCGTCTTGCCACTGATCACTGACGGTGTAATCAAGTGTCGCATCCGACGTCGCGTACTGGCTTGCCATCGAATTCCCCTCCTCAGCTTTGCTGGATGTCAATGAAATCGAACGTGTTTTTTGTTCACTAAATACCTGGTTTACTTTAGTAATTGATCAGTATATCTGTGGCGAAGGTGTGACAAATTGATGATCAATTGGAGGAGAAAGTCTGAATTTATGCAGTGTTTATTTTTTTAAACGCAAAACAAAGAATATTTATTTGAAAATGTTTGCCAAAATATTGGATAATTCACTCAGAATTTGAACTTGTTTCCGAATATTCAACACGCTTGTTTCGGGGCCATGTTCTGAATTCGAGTCACTTGAGTGCCCAGGACGGGTGCGTTGGCCCTTCTTTCAAACCGGATTGCGAAAATGCGCACATCCATTGATGACATTTCAAGCGAGGGCGGCTAATGGAACGGAATGATCAGACGCCTTTATGACTGGACGTTGTCCCTTGCCGCCGGACCACGCGCACCCGCCGCGTTGGGATCCGTATCGTTCGTTGAAAGTTCCGTCTTTCCGATTCCACCCGATATCCTGCTGATCCCGATGGTGATTGCCCGCCGGGAAAAGGCCTGGTGGTACGCCTTGTTGTGCACGGTTGCGTCGGTCGCAGGTGGGGTGCTCGGATATCTGATCGGCATGTTCCTGTTTGAGCAGGTTGCCGTGCCGATCCTGTCCTTTTATGGCAAGATGGAAAAATTCGACGAATTCCGTGACGTGTTCAATCACTGGGGTTGGTGGTTCGTCTTCATCGCCGGTCTGACACCGTTCCCCTATAAGGTGATAACAATAGCTTCCGGTGTTGCCGGTCTGAGCCTTCCGGTATTTGTTGTTGCGAGTATTGTTTCGAGGGGTTTGAGGTTTTTTGTCGTCGCCGGACTGCTTTATCTGTTCGGACCAGTGATCAAGGATTTCATCGAGAAGCGCCTTGGTCTCATGTTCACCCTCTTCGTGGTGTTGCTGGTCGGCGGCTTCATTTTGTTACGGTACATCTGAGTGAAGTGGAAACAATGACCCAATATCAATGGGCAAGGAATTTGGTCGCCCTCTCTCTGCTCGGCGGACTTGTCGTGATTGCGACCGCCTGGGGATTTCAGCTGATTGGCGGCTACGTGCCCTGCAAGCTTTGTCTTGAGCAACGTATTCCTTATTATGCCGGATTGCCGCTCACGGCCCTTGCGCTGATCCTGCTGTCACAGCAGCGGAACCGGCTTGCGATGCTGACGCTTCTGGCTGCAGCAGCGATTTTTGCCTACGGGGCTGGTCTGGGCGTTTATCAGGCCGGTGCGGAGTGGCAGTTCTGGGATGGCCCGAACGACTGCGGCGGCGGCAGTGCAGCGCCGGCTTCGGCTTCAAACATGCTGCAGGCATTGCAGTCCACGCGTGTCGTCAGCTGTACGGAAGCCAGTTGGCGGATGCTGGGTCTTTCCTTTGCAGGCTGGAACGCAGTTGCGTCCGCCGGGCTGGCAGCCTTTAGCCTGCTTGCCGTGTTTCTATTGAAACAGGGGAGAAACAAGGCCACTGTGAGCGTATGAGCAAAAACAAGGATTCCAAGGAACGGCAGCGCGAGGACGCTTTAAGATCACTCGACCGCGTCGGGGCTGAAAGTGAAACCATTGCCGGCTCGACATTTGTTCGAATGGCGGACCGCGCCAAGGGCCACATGAGTGCGGCCGACAAGAACGAAGACGACCAGATCGAGGTCTGGGGCACCCGGATAGGCCGCGGTGCAGGGCTGGTCTTTGCGATTGGACTGGTGATCTACCTCGTGGTGACCTACCTGTAGGCAAATAATCTCCTGAAGGATCAAGGCAGGCAACATGGCATCCGTCCGACCGATAAGCCGCAGTGGCTGGTCTGAACGCAAAGCTCCGGAACTGGCCGATTTCGAGCAGATGGCGAGCGAAGTCCTGGCAGGATTGCCGGACGACGTCCTGCTGCGCTGTGGTCATATCCAGATCAGTCTTGCCGACTATGCCCCGGACGACGTTCTGGACGCACTTTCAATCGAAGATCCGCATGATCTGCTGGGGTTGTTCGAAGGGCAGGGTCTTGCGCAGGGTGGTGACATTGAGTGGAGCGGGCAGATGCCTAACCGTATCTGGCTGTTCCGCAGGCCTATCCTGGACTACTGGGCCGCCATGGACGATACATTGGGAGAGGTGGTCGCCCATGTATTGATCCATGAAATCGGACACCATTTCGGTCTGTCCGATCAGGACATGGAGCGCATCGAGGCTGCAACTGATCGTTAGGCAGCCTCGCGCGGGCCTTCGTCCAGGTTCTGTTGCAGTTTATTCTGCGGCTTCGACCTGAGCGCGCTCAATGGATTCCGCGATCAGTCTTTTCGCAACTTCAGCGCCTTCGACACCGGTGATCTTCACCCACTTGCCTGGCTCAAGATCCTTGTAATGCTCGAAGAAGTGCTTGACCTGATCGACAGTGATCTGTGGCAGGTCGGTGATGTCGAGCACCGCGTCGTAACGCTTGGTGACCTTGTGACCCGGGACCGCGATGATTTTCTCGTCCTGGCCTGACTCGTCTTCCATCAAGAGAACACCGATCGGACGACAGGACATGATCGCACCCGGCACGACAGGGCGCTGGTTGACGACGACCACGTCGATCGGGTCTCCATCGCCACACAATGTGTGCGGAACGAAACCGTAGTTGCCCGGGTAACGCATCGGGGTATAGAGAAACCGGTCGACATACATGGCGCCGGCGTCCTTATCCATCTCGTATTTGATCGGCTCGCCTCCGACGGGCACTTCAATGATGACATTGATGTCTTCAGGCGGGTTCGTGCCAATCGGCACGGCGTCGATACGCATCACAAACTCCTGTTGATCGTTGCTGCCGTCTATCGCAATCCCGCTGGCGAAGTTCAAGCCCTTTATTTTGCATTGCACCTAAATGCTGAGATGCAGGGCTCATCAAGTGGCTTGCGGCCAGGCATAGATGGACAGCTCCATCCGTCGCCCTCCAAGCCGGTACCAGGATTTTGCCGTCAGCTTGCCACCGACTGCCCGGTAGAAGTTACGGGCCGGCTGATTGTCGCTCAGGACCTGGACAGCAAGTCCGCGAAGTCTTTGGGAACGCAATGTTTTACGGACATTGCCGAAAAGTGTTCGGCCAAAGCCAAGACCCTGGTATTCAGGTTTGAGATACAATTCGTAGATCTCGCCTTCCATGCCGGTATCGAGCAGGCGACAGGGGCCGAAGGTGGCATAGCCGGCCGGGATGTCGGCAACGCAGAGAAGCTTTATGTCCACCCCACGTGCCAACGCGCCTCGCCACCATCCCGTGCCGCGGCGGGAGACCATTTTCTGAAGATCAACACCTTGCAGAAGGCCACGATACGCACCCAGCCAGGCCGCGCTGTGAATGTCTGCCAGCGCGTTGCAATCTGCGGCCCGAGCCGCACGAAGATCTATCAGGTCCGTGGTCATCCTGAGAAAAGGATACATCAAGAGAGGGATTGGAAAAGTGGCAATTGGTTGCAGAAACGCGAAAAATGAAACCAGTTCCCCAGGCTCACGGATAATCCGTCATTGCCGGTGAACAGGTCGACGGAATCGTACAGCCTGAACATGAAAAGGGCCGGCATATAGCCGGCCCTTCAGTTGCCCTGATGTTTGACTAAGTAAACCTGGTTGACCGGTAAGAACCCCGGGGGGCTGGGGGGCTAATGCATTCCGCGATCCCTACCTGTCATACCCATCAGGGTATAATAGAAATATGGGGAGCTAATTTGACTTGCCAAGGGCTGCATTGCGGCGAAATCATGGAATTTTGATCATTCTTTCGGGGCAAACTTCCGTAACGTCCGTTTTTTGATTTTTACCCGCCAAAAGCGACTGCAAGTGGCGACAGGGTCGCGTGCCTGAAAATGTTTCTGAGCCACCGGGCTTGCCATTCGACCCAAAGCCAACGCATCATGACAACAAGGTAAAGGCGGAAACTCTTTTATCGGGGTTCTTGAACGGCGCAGGTCGTGAACAGTAAGGAGGCGGAATGAGCGAAGCCGATGACAGCGCGTTTCAGCGCGGCGCGGGAACCAACCCGTCGCCGCTAAGCCAACCGGCTCTGCCTTCCAGATCTGTTGTAGCCTTCAACCGGCGAGAACTTGATACGATACTGCGCCTCTATGGCCTCATGGTCGCTGACGGGGAATGGCGTGATTATGCTATCGATCTCTTGAACGACCGGGCGGTTTTTTCGGTGTTTCGACGGTCCTCCGAGATGCCGCTCTACCGCATCGAAAAAGACCCGAAGCTTGCCCGCAAGCAGGGCGCATATTCCGTTGTTGCCCCGGGTGGCATGATCATGAAGCGCGGTCACGACCTGGCTCAGGTCCTGCGTGTTCTCGAGAAGAAAAAACATCTGCGCGTCGTCGACGCCTGATAACCCTGTTTGTTCAGGCACAAAAAAAGCCCGGCTTCTGCCGGGCTTTTCTGTTTATTGGTCTGATGGGCTGCTTAGTCGCGGTTGCCGAACAGCTGCAACAGCATCAGGAACATGTTGATGAAGTCGAGGTAGAGGCGCAGCGCGCCCATGACGGACTTCTTGGTTGCGACTTCACTGCTGTCGCCTTCGTAGTACATTTCCTTGATCTTCTGGGTGTCGTAGGCCGTCAGGCCGGCGAACACCAGAACACCGATCACGGAGATGGCGAACTGCATGGCGGACGATTGCAGGAAGATATTCACAATCATCGCAATGATGATGCCGAACAGGCCCATCATCAGGAACGATCCCCAACCGGTCAGGTCCTTCTTCGTGGTGTATCCGAACAGGCTCAGCGAGCCGAACGCGGCGGCAGTGATGAAGAACACGCGCGCAATCGATCCACCTGTATAAATCATGAAGATCGGTGCAAGCGAAACGCCCATCACGGCTGCATACACCAGGAACATTGTCCGGGCGGTCGATGCACTCATGGACTGGATGCGGAACGATAACCACATCACCATTCCCAAAGGTGCGAACAGAAGCACGAAATAGAGCGGACCGCT